TGTAGGTAAATAAATAGTAAATAGATAGTAGGCTGCGTTCAAAAAAATAGTTATAGTTTAAATTATTTAAATGAATTGTATGCAAGCATATAAATTAAATTAAAATGTCAACGAATGCCTGGGAGCAACCTGATATGGTAAACAATGAAAGCTGTCAACCCGTTTATACTTTTAGCGAAAATGTTTGTTATTAAAAGAAGCGCTATCTGATGTTATTATAACCAGTAGAACCTGTGTACTCATTTAAACCTAACTTACTTTGACTCGTTTGAATAAATTAACATAATAAGTTTTGTTTATTCCATGCAACGCGCTGCATTATATTTGACGTAACTTTGCAAATTTAATGGCTTATGGGAGAAACAACTATTGCATTTAACTTCACTTCATCAATTATTTACTTTGTTTTTTTTTAATCTATCAAGTTTTTTGTGTATTTTATTCATGTGTATTTTAATTTTATTACTTTTTCACATGCATATTTATAATCTTAATTTTAAACCGTAACTGTTATGATACTGTTACACCTATAAGTTGTAATATAGATTAACAAACGTGGCGAGTAGTAAAAAAGCGATATTTACAATATAAATATAATTGGGGTAGTTTGATGCTTACCTGTAAAATATCAATGATAAAATTGCAATTAAATACATTTAACCAGAAATGCCTTACCTAGAACAAGCTTTACATCACTATTGTTTGCTGAATCTAGACAATACTATTCTGGTATCACTTCAGACTTGCATTGACTAAACGCTTGTGACAAGGCTCTCCTAACTCTGTAGCTGACACGTGGCTTAATGTTAATACACATCGATTACATGTTGCAACAAGGCTCAACTAATCACTAAATTACAACAACCACCGCTTAAATGTTGGAATGCTACAGTTTTTTGGTATTATTTCCAAAAACCTATAGTAGAAATCTGTATTCTCTACTCATGCCGTTTTTAATATTGCAGTAATCCAAACATCATAAGTAACTGTAGATTATTCTAACTACACGAACTGTCTTTTTTTACTTTAATTATGAGAAAAAATTTGTCTTTTGATATCATTATTGAAACATTATGAAACTTATAACACATGATATGAACATAATTACATAACACAGTTTCTCCAAAGAGGTTTTATTAGCAAACTTAAATCAAATGTCCACTCTTAAGAACATACGGCGGTAAAAAAAACGCGATGGGTTTTCTTTTGAATTTTGAAACTTTGCATATTTTTTTACATATATTTAAAGCATATTACATATTTTATTTTTATTATTACAATCAAACGCATTTGGAAATAACGCAATTAACTAAGTCTTCTTCGTAAGACTGTTTCATAGACTAAGACCTATTACTAAGTACTGACGTTTCGGCTTTTCCTACAGCCAACTTCAGGCGCTACTACTTCACCCCTATTCAGGTACTACAGTAGTAAAGTCTTAACCCTATTACGTTGAATTGCTTTGATGTTGGATGTCATCAGTGATGCCGATACGTTAATACTTGTTAATACGATTCTGTCAGTGACGTGGTAGTACCCATATTACCCTTACATTTACAATTGTATATTTTTACTTTCTCCCCCTATACATAGTTTATGCATGAATATTATTTCGTAAAGGTTTTCGTGTATTAGTATTGGGTGGAAATAACCGCTGGGTCTACCGTCTACCTGAACCCAAAAAGTTGTTTTTGAAGTAATGTGTGTGTTGATGTGTAAAGTCATAGGATATCCCTTTGATTGATTTTGATTAAATTTAGTATTTAGGTACTATGGTATCCAGTTGTTTCTTTTATTTTTTAGTTCAAATTTTTAATGCCGTTTTTCTCATAAAACCTCCCAAAATTCGGATTTTTACATAAATGGCACGAAAGATTTTGATTAAATTTTCATATTTTAAGGTCGTTGAAAATAAAAAAATGGAACAACCTGTAAAAAGTATCACAATATCATTGTTACTTCCACTTTTTACCCATTATAATTGATGTTGACAAACTAATAGAAGTAGTTATGTGCCAGTTTCCTGACACCGTGTATTTACGTATTGGTTAAATTTGCTGCAACATGTTTTGACTCAATGGTTACAGACGAGTGAACATCCAGTGGCTGGACAGCGGCAGCTCGCATCTTCAGTTCCAGCATCCAGTCTACCAAGGCTATGTGACAGAGAACTCTACTAAGCCGGTGACTGTGGCTGTAGTCAGCGTGGTGGGGGAGGAGCTCAACCAACATATACGGTTCCGCATGGCTAACCCGACCCCGCTGTTCCACTTAGGCCTTACCTCTGGAGCACTTGTTACAACTGGTGTACCCTTCGACCGCGAGGATAAGGATCTTTTCACCATATACATTCAGGTTAGGATTGTTTATAATATGGTGGTTATTTTGTTCATGTATAAAACGGATAAGATAATAGCTTCATATGCAGACGTACAAATTGATTAAATTTGCTATACACTTGACTTATTTTTATTTATTTATTGGTGTTTTTTATCCCTTTCAACCTAGAATTTATTAATTTACATGGTCCTCAAGGGCTTAGAATGTGAGCCGGCACAGTCCAAGAAAGAACTGTACTAAATATTGTTAGTAGTGACATTGGGATGCAGACCCAAACCAACTGAGTGAGCTATCGTCAAACCAATTCTAGTAACATACAAGACGAAAATCCGGTATGTCAATTTTTAATTATACTCTTGCATTAGAAAAACTTCGTCAAGCTCCCTAGTGTTGTGGACATGTGTCGAATGCTATTAAAATGTATCCAATTTCGATTAATACTAAATTTTAAGTTCTTCAAGTATTAATACAACTTTAGAATTTGAAATTGGATGTGTAAATCTAAAAGCCACCATAACATTTATTAACTTCGACGTTGGCTATGTGAACAACGGCATTGCCAGTTACTCTATTTTCAGGCAGAGTATGAAGATTCGGATGACACCAAACAGCTGATCCAAACACTGGTGAACATCAGCGTGGTAGATGTCAATGACAACTGTCCAGTATTCATGAACACACCGTACGTAGTGGCAGTGTCAGTGGGCTCACACAAACATATGGCTTTCTTCAAGGTTAGTACAGCTAAAAACCCGTATTTGAAACAGATTGTTTAGATAATAATTATGTTAGAAGTATGTAGAAACACAATTAGGTAGACAGTTAGAAATACTTAAAGCACTGATAGCGATCCGGTTTATTTCTTTGTTTTGTTGAACACCATGATTTTACATGATGTAATCCTCATCATACTTGGTAGTGTTAAAAGTTGTCATGGACTAATACAGACACGAATACATGGATTCATAGACTAATACGTGAACATGAAAACGTTAGTTAAGAGGTGGACAAAGGGTAATGATAGCATGATATTAGTTGATGGTGTTCATCTTAAAAACTTTATGTTTAAGTGAATTGATTGCAGCGGAAAGACAGTAACATATGTTTAACTAGATCTAGATTTGTGTGTGTTCGATTGCAGGTCCTGGCGATTGACCTGGACGAGGGAGAGAACGGAGAGGTGAGGTACGAGCTGACTCGCGGCCACGGGGAACTGTTCAAGGTAGACCGCAAGAGTGGGGAGATAAGTCTGAAACAAGCTCTGCAAGACACCCAAGAGGCGTACATCATCATCATCACGGCCTACGATGGAGGTAAGTCCTATGTGTCGCCCGTGTAAATAGTCTGGCTGTGTGATTACAATTTCCTGGAAATTCTAATGAATAATATTTTAGGCTAAAACAATTTCATGAAGGGAAACTTCTTCACGCATGCCCAAGTAATTAATGTATAGCGAAATAAATATCAGGTACATCCTTAGTTTTATCGTCATCGTGGTGATTACCCTGTATTATTTAATTAAAATAACTTTTCGTTGCAATAAACATAAAACATAAGATAATTTATTTCCTTTAGATACACATATACATGTCTTTTGGAAAACGTCATTACATCAAGGTACAATATAATAAAACAATTTCTTCAACTAAAACCCAGCTAAAAAAGAAAGTAATATATCATATATGCCACACAATAACATTTGTGAAAGAGTACCTGAAACTCAACATTCAAAGTGTAAAAACCAAAACAACACACTCAGTAAACCATCAGTTAAAACTTAATTACATATTCTCTTTAAGTTAAAAATTCATCCGCACTGACAACTGGGTTGACCATTCCACTCTCTTTTTGAATTGTTTGTTTGGAAGGTTGCGGGCTGTATAATTTTCTTCTCGTATTGTACGAGTGGATGTCTCTCCTCAGTTCAAGAGCGTCCGCTACCTCCTTTGTTTTGATGATCGACTTAAAGATAAAAGTTTTAAGCTATAAGAGATTGAGCCTTAAACAATCGTTTACAATGATCAAGGCGCCTGGCTCCTGCCACAATTCTTACTGCCTTTTTTGGAGAAGTAGGACTCTCGACTCCAGGAGCGGCTTCCCAAAGTGTCAACCCATATGTGATAATACTCTGAAAAATTTTCATATGCAATCCTTAGCCAGGCGTTTGGCACACTGTACTTTTGCTTTCGGAGTAAATAACAACCCTTGGCAGCTGGCTACAAACACAGTCAATATGACCATTCCAATCTAGTTTACAGTCTAGGTGAATGCCTAAGAGCTTTACACTCCTCACCTCGTACTCAAAGTTTCAGAGGCTGAAAAACATTCAGATAGTTTTTTTTTCCTGATTAAAAAAATAAAGTTAGTCCGGAACCAGGTGGATGCTTCATCAAGAGAGTGTTTTAAAGTTAGGTCCACATTCTCAGCACTATCCCTTCCTTCAAAAGTTGTTGTTAGAACAACCAAATAAATTTCCGGGTGGACTGATAAATATGGACAAATACTGCATGAAAAGACCGATTGTAATTGGTCATTCTCAACTTCGTACGTCAGTTGTCTATCCAATCACAGCGAGCAGCAATTCTATTCCTTACTATGGCTTAGTAAAATGCCTTCGAGAATCATGCAACTGAGCTCTTGCTTTGAAAGGAACAACCACAGAAAGATATTTAATGTATTGCTCTCACTCACTGGACATGTTTGAACAAAACTGTACCTTTTGCCACAAAACTTTTAACTCCACTTGATTAATTGTCAAATCTATGTTTTAAATATTAGGTTATTTTCAACGTGTTATATGTGAGTCTGAGGCAAGATATGTGTAAGAGAGAGATATACAGCCCTAAATTTCCCATTGGTAATAAAAAATACAAAATGTGTGTTTTTCATTTTATTTTATTTCATATCTACCAATTTTTTGCATGTTTCCGTGGCCAAACAAAAAATTATTTGACTTTAATAACATTATCTTGAAGTGGTATAAAGTACGACACGGCAAAGCCAAATCTTATTACTTTCGACACAGGTGGTCTTATAAGCGGGTTTTACTTCACGGGAGCTTTAACAAACATGACAATATTATACATTTTATAAGATTGATTAGGTCCATATCCATAACCAACCTGAAGATTGCTAGCAGTGTTTATAATTTATCATAATTTTATTTAAAATACCTTGTATTTATTATTCTCACAAAAGCATCAAAGTAGATTTTTACTGAATGACAATGCTTCAAGAGGTATAAAAAGTATTTTAACCAAACAATTTATGATGGATAAATAGATTTAGGTCATAAAATAAACTATTTTGATCAAGCAATAACTCAAAGGCTTAAAAATTTTGTATAAAATGGTATGCTTGAAGAAATAAAACATGAAAATTTTTATGGAAACGGGTTTTTTACTGCATGAAAACGTATGTCAATAATGTTTTCATCCACTTTTTACTCTCCTTTGTTCACAACATGTTATACTCCCTGACATAACACCAAGCCCTGAAACCATCAGTAAAACACGAACTAGTTGACCTCCTTGTCGTGATACATAGTGTAGAATGATCGACCCTAGAAGCTTAAGGTGTTTGAATTATGTAGCCTAAACAGAACATGACAAACATTATTTTACTTCAATAGTTTTTGTAAGTTCATGCAAAGTAAGTAAAACATCACTAATGAAATATTAGTTTACAAATGAGTGGTCTACAAGAGGTAGAGCTCTTCAAGTAGAGTTTTACATTCATTATAAAGCTATGTGACCTGAGATCAATCAAAATTCTTTCGCTAACCTATTCAATATTAAAGAACAATTTTCCAAAATATTTTGTAGATGATTTTAGGTTTGTAGCTGAAGAAAGTGTTAGATACTCACGCCATGCATCATTAACTTTGCGTATGCCTCGCCATAGGACTGCAGTTTACGACAGAGCGTTTGTTGTAACTGCTTGCCGTCTTTGGAACGATCTCCCTTTAGCTATTAAATCCCTCGATAGTCGTTCCCAGTTTGTGGCAGCACTAAAAAATCTCTATTTTGAACGTATGGCCATGGTAGGTTTGTCGTAGGGGCTTGTGCGCATGGCGGTCACTGACTTGTATGTATGTATGGGTGAGTGTGTGTGTGTGTGTGTAAGTATTTTTAAAATTTACTGATTTTTGATAAAAGTTTCTGTATCTATGATTTCTGTTTTGTTTTATTGTATAAGCTGATTCTGTTAAAATATTTATATTATATTTTAAAGTACAGGTTAAGTGTAAGAAAGGGCCATGTGGCCCTAACTTTGCCTGTGTAAATAAATGATTTTTCATTTCATTACTTTTCAGAAGACAGATTTATATGTCTCTGGTGGAAATAAAGCTTAATGGTCCTTCTAATATATTTTTTATCGTGTTATTTTAGCAATGAAAATGATTTATGAATGTTGTGTTTTATAAGGTGAGGAAAATATTATTTATTACGAATAATAATTAATATAATTATTACTTATCGGTTACTATACCCCATTCCACGTTAACCGCCCAGCAAGAAGCGCCCATGAGCCATGTAGGAATGCTGTCCTAAATTCCACAGAACCCATTAAATGTTCCCTTTAACTTTATGGTTTTAGTTTTTTTCTTCTTATATATTTTCACTGACAAACATGTTTTATCTTTATCAAGTCAACACCCAAAAGTAAGGTTGAAATACCATTCCACACAAATCAAAAGTTACATGAATGAGTGCGTTCGCCAGAGCAACTAGGACAGTTTAAGCAACCTGCATTCAAAAAACATTATTTTTCCAGCAATGTTTTCTATCAATAGAACGATTCCCACAAGTATGGTGGGAGTAGAATGGAGTATACATGTGCTTTCTATTGACAGGGGTGACGCCGTGCTCCACTGAGACTACGCTGGTGGTGAAGGTGGTGGCGGAGAGCTCCCCCAAGTTTGAACGGCAGCTATATACAGTGACTGTGCCAGAGTCCTTACCTCCTCACTCTCTCCTGCCTGTGCGAGTGGTTGCCGAGGCGCCGTTTGACCATCCTGTTACATACGCGATCCTCGACAACGACATACGCTTCTCTATCGATGTTACGGCTGGTAGGTGCCCACTGCACATACTCCTACTACCACATAGAAAAATCACCTTTCTTTTTTACCACAGAACATTTTTTCATATCCTAAAAATCTTATGAAATAGTACTTATATGGTAAAATTTTTATTTTATACTCTCAAGATATTTTTTTAGAAAATTTTTCCAGAACATAGCATGTACATAAATATAAAATAGTCAATTGAAACTAGTTGTAATACTATAAAAGTAGCTGATGTTAGTATGATAATGCTGTAGCCAATGTTATTACTTTGACTGAACACAAACGACCGTGGTAAACAACATTTCTTCGCTTTATTAGTTCATCTCTATTTGCATTTTATAGACCGGATGGTATTAATGCTAAAAAGCATTAAATGTTGGATTTCAAGGGGAGAACTTCTTAATAGTTGTCGTAAAACCTATTATAATTATAAATATTATTCTACTATCACAATAAGGCTTCAGTTACTTTTGTTAGTTTTATTATATTTTAGTAGTGATAGATATGTGTAGTTTTTTATTTTTTTTAATATATGTGTATAATCCTTAAACATATTTCAATAAAAGTTGGCAGTGATGATATTTATGGAAGATTAACTGATATTATGGGTTAGATATTTATGGAAGATTAAGAGATTGCTTTACAAAAAACTCATTTCTCAGTAGAACGGTGATTTTTAATTTTTCAATTAGGTAAAAAAGCTACACAGAACAAATTTAGTAGAAAACCAAAATTTGAAAAGTAATCTACCCCACCCATGTGCCTTGAATCGCGGTATATCGTTTTAGAGTTTCGCTAAATATAACAACTAATCTCCTCGTACTACGAAGTCACGTTGGTTACTTGTTGTAGAGGTTCAATTCGGATTTCAGAACATTTTAGAACACCCAACACATAAAACACAATACCCTTCTTGGATGTAATATTGAAATGTCCAAAGTTAGCACTCATTATTGGTTATTCTAGAGAGAATGTGTTTCGTTGCAGACTAAGATTTGAAAAAAGAGTGTTTTACCCACAGAGTTAACAGATTGTACTATTACGGCTCTGATCAGGAATTCACTAAACTAAACTCCAACGCTCCGGGCAAACAAGAAGATCTAGGCTAAGCTCTAAGTTAGGACACTAAGCGTGGAGCTTAAGCACATCATCGTTGGAGCATGTTTTTGTATATGGCAAAGTAATATAGCATAGAATTTTTATTTAGTGCTTTATCCCAGTTTTAAATCCATTATTATTACCCTCATTATTCAGTCTCAAACTTCATAAAATATTTTCGTTCAACACACGTGATACTTCAAATGGTGATCATGGAAAGGACAAAAAATTCATAAAGTTTACAATCAAATTAAAATATGATTGTTATATAAAAACTAATAGAAATTTCACTCTTGCCTTTAAAACCTAAGCTCGACAAGTTTTGGTGGTGTTATTCCAACGAACACAATTAATTAGGAAATATGAGTTTAGTTACAAAAGAATTAAGCTTACGAGCTCATTGTAACCCTTTCTAAAAAGGTTTTGAGACCCAGTTCCAGCGGTGAAAATCTGTTTCTTACTGAGAATCAACAATTAAACTAAATCCTTTAAAATGTATAGCTATTTTTAACATAAACCTGAGTTTTAAAACAAAATTCCTGCGCAGTTACCTTAATAAAAAAAAATAAATGCAGAGAATCTACTTCCCAAACTACAATCAGGGTTCAGAAAGAACCATAGCACCTGTACTGCATTGCTAAATATGTTTGCAGACTTGTTTGTGGCGAGGGACGGAGGCAGGTGTAGCTCTGTAGTCATGATTGATTTCTCGCAAGCCTTTGATTCCATAAGCCATAGTTTACTCCTGGCAAAATTGAAATATTTTGGTTTTCATTGTGATGCAATTGCTTGGTTTGGATCTTACCTGGAAAACAGACTGCAAGTGACCAGGGTGGGTACCGATATCTCACCTCCCCTTAAGAAATCAAGGGGAGTACCTCAGGGGAGTTGTCTGGGGCCCATTTTGTTTACCCTGTACACTGCAGATCTGTCCAGATGTGTGAGGCACTGCAATGTGCATTCATATGCTGATGATTGCCAGTTGCATTTCTCGTACGAGATTCAGGCCACTGCGCAAGCTTTTGCAGGAGTGAACTCTGATCTGGTGAGAGTAAGTGAATGGTCACGCAAACATGGTTTGAAATTGAACGCTGACAAATGCACTGTTCTTCATATTGCTCCACCCACTACTCTTCACAGACTTGCAAATGGAGACATGCACGTTCAACTCACAGGAAACCCTTTAATGGTGAGAGATACTGTCAAGACGTTGGGTGTGGTACTTGACAGTGGCCTCACATTCTCGGACCATATCACTTATGTTTCCCAGGTGGCTTTGGGAAGGTTGCGTGGTCTGTACCGGTACAAAAACATCCTGCCAGAGACAGCCAAGCTGCAGCTGGTACAGTCACTAGTGTTGTCAGTGCTCCATAACTGTTTCCCTGCATACGGAAACAGCATCTCAAGGGAAGAGATGTCCCGTTTGCAAAAAGTGCAGAACTCCGCCGTTCGTTTCGTTTACGGTATCCGTAAGCGTGAACGCGTATCCCCATTCCGGGATGCTGCGGGGTTGCTGTCAATGGAAGCCGTGTGCAGGGCGCAGACTTGTAGCCTCATCCACCGGGTCTTGGTTCAGCAAGAGCCTAAGTACTTGGTGGAAAGGCTTGTGGCACGTGGGGAGATGAACCATCGCGAGACCCGGCACAACACCTTGCTCCACTTTCAAAAAGTGCGCCTGGAAGTGGGTAGGAAAGGGTTTTCATACTTTGGCCCAAAGATTTACAATGATCTCCCCTTGGACCTAAAACAGCTGGGGGTCCTGGCTTTTAAAAGAAACTTAAAAAAACGTATTAATATTGTAAAATAGTTGTATATAGGCCTATATTTAATATTTTTTTTTATCACTCGATGTCTTGTATTATAATAGTATTGTATTTTTAGTTAGTTTTGACCTGAGTTACTCTGTAAAACAGTTGTATTAGTACTGAGAGACGCTCGGAAATAAAGGCATTTTTATTTATTTATTTATTTATTTAAAACTTAATTCAGTGGTAAAATTTTATTGCGATATGCGATACCCTTTTACTTTTAAAATATCTAGATCTTTGGCTGCAATCATATAAACGTAGCCTAATTAAACTCCAATGTCATCGATTCTTTCGTCTGTATATTGTTTACAATCTGACTGGTTAAACATTCAACTAAGGATCTGCTGTTAGATTACAATTAATTTATATTTACACCATAATAAAGAAAGTTGGCCATCAACACTGTATCTTTGAAAGTGGACTCCACGATAATTGAAACGCAAAATGGCGCATTTCCGTTACAATTCGCAGGTGCACTCGATCATAAGCTTTAAAATGGCAACTCAATGACGAAAAATTGGTTGAGTAGGACCACTGAAAAAGGGAGGTTACAGAGAAACCCGTTACTGTATAAAAACTGTATAGCTATTTTCCAATCATTGGTGAGAATTAAAGTCAACTTTACTAAAAGACATTTAGCTCTGATTTTCAAATAATTCACTAAAGTAAAATAACAAACAAATATTTTTTTTTACCGTATGAAAAGTATCAGAAGCTCCCTTTTCCTCTATATCTACATTTGACATAATGTCGTCCATATATATATTTTTTTAAAGAAAACAAATAAACCAAAGAAGCTCTTAGAATTCGTTCCTGATCATACACAGCATGTTAAAAAAGAAGAATTTGGAAAAGGCTTATTGCTAATGGGTCAAGCATTATTGTTTAAAACGTGCTATGAAAAACTCCGTATTCTCCTGTCTCGATGCAATTACTCATGATAATTAAGCTACTTAAACACAATCCTGTATAATCTTGTTTTCGTCATAGCTTCTGCGTCTTGAGGTATCAAACCTTAACTAAAGTAATTGCGTGCCTTCGTTCATTGTTCCTAGTATACTTAGTACAACCACGTAATTTGTTATTCTAAATTTATCAAGTCTCTGTAAAAAGACCCAAAAGAATTACTGTTGAAAAAAGATAAAAGATCAAGTTTTAATGTAAAAACTGTGCTAAGCTTTTGGTAAACCTTGTAACTTGAGTGGAGCTTGAGTTAGAATAGTACTTCTCTTGTACCAATAATAAATAATAAAATGTTAGAGTGGTGATAGATACAGACTGTATGGATAGTATTTGCGGAACAAATAAATAAATTGAATCATGCTTCATTGGAAATTTCTTTTCCCCGAAGGAAAGTAAAATTTGATCACCCTGCTTTTAGATTCAGTCACTGAGATTGTTTTGGGGCTTCAAAGAACTCTCTTGAAAACTTTAGAAGAACTTTTTGCTTTATAACTTTTGGAATAAGCCTCTAAATATATTGTTCAACTATTGGTATTTCGTTTTGGCTGACGGATAAAACCTAATATTTGAAAACAAGATAAACATTTAAGTTTTTGAAGCTCTGGAACTTTTGAAATAATGGAGAGATTGATCCGGCAGTTTTAATATAGTGTTAGGAATCCTTCTTATAGAGAATTAATAATTTAGACTGGTAAAAATTAAAGTATAAAGTATATTCCAAGCTATATTGTAGAATCTATCATTAACTCGGTTTAAAATTATAGCACACTAAGTGACTTCTTATAAATTGATCATTACCAATTATTTGTCATATCCAAAACAAAATCATGGTTACAAAATTTTAGACTAGTTAAGTAATATGAAATAAAAAGTTAATTCATATCTGAGAAAAATTAAAAGTTTTAACTTTTAACCCAAGAACTGGAAAGGAAAGGCTGTTTCACGACTCGTTTCTTCAATATAAACATAAAGGTTTTATAAAAAGAGCTTAAATGGGGTAGGGAGTATTACGAAATGTTTTGGCTCATTTAAGTTAAAATTTAAAGTTCAAAACGCGTGAAAAATTACTTAAGTTCACCATTAATTTAATACTGAATAAACTGCAAGTTGGAATCTACGAATGTTGCTGTAAATCTCTACGAAGCACTTAAATACTACGACTCACTTAATAATCGGTGACTAAAAAATGAATTTAACAACTGAGTATGAATGTGAAATGTATTATTTGAAATTCTTCTTTATTATCCAATTAGTGTTTTACATTATTTAAACACATATAAAAAATGGAACTCGACTTATATATTTTTAATTCGAAATATTTTATTAAGGTAACAGTTATACTGTATAATATTATTCATGTTATTGAGACCTGGTAGCTTCATATCCATAATTAACTCTACAAAAAATGCATTAAAAATTATATCAAAAATCCAAAAAAGCTGTATAGAAATCAATTGTATGGTATTTTCCTATTCGTACTGACACTTATTATTTCTCATTGATGATAATCTTCTTAGGATATTGGCAGGAGTTAAGTTTTCAAGTGAGAACGTGGATTATTCATTTTTAGTTAGGTTTATTTTTTGTAGTTGCTAAACAAATTTTTTACTGGATCAGTATACATTGGTCCAATTTGATGCACGTCGGTTGAAGAAGCGAAATAAGGTTGATAAGACCCAAAGAAACAGTCCGAGTGGCCGCCCTTGACTGAGGTATCTCTTTGCTGATTCATTTGCTGATACAATTCTTTAAAGCGCATAAAAACAGTTGTTTCACTGTTAGGGTCGACAACCTTTTAATTTTGAACTCGAAGTCCCCTTGAAGGATGGGAGCAACAACAATCTTGTGGGTGTAATGCATTAAAGTTGCCGGTAATGTTTTTACCAGAGCACACTACTGATTCATTTTATGCGTTCGCAACATAAATATCGGATGGATGTTAGAGATTACCTGATCTAAATACAGCTTTTTAATTGGTGGGGGAATTTTCTTTCTCACTGTAAAACCAACAGTTCGTCTGCTTCCTAAACTCCTCACGATTATTACCGCATTCCGCTAGTTCTGTGTCAATAAAATCTACGTTTACCATACCTTAAAAAATGGCAAGAGTTTTACTAATACCGATACCACAGTTGGAATACATATTGCTTAGGGTTAGCTCTGAGAAAGATGCATTCTGATGCAAAATGAATTTCCCCAAGGTCGTGATATATTTAGGATTGAAAATCCTTTCATCCCTCGGCAGAAAAATATTTAAGAAATTAAGGTTGTAATCCTTAACTTCGTCCTTGAACCCATTCTTACAGCTTTAACGAATTACGTTTCTGACAATTGACAACCATGCTGAGGCATTAATGTATACAACTCCGAAAGAAAACTCAAGAATGAAACTTTGACTTTAGACAGAGCTTTTATTCCCCGGTCAAAAAAGTACTCAAAGTACTTCAAGTACTCAAGTGAAAAATAACCAATAATGGAGAAAATTGAATATTTCCTACAGTTACCTAACAATGCACATGTTCTCTCACTGATTTGAGATAGCAAAGTGGGCAATTCACTCATCAGTGAGACAATGTTAACATTGTCTCACTCTAATTACTTTGTCTCACTCCAGATTTGCAACGCGAAGGCACAAAATAGTGAGCGCGTAACATGCAGACAAGGTCGTATGCGCGTGAAATACGAGTTGCTGATACGATGGCAGCACTGGCTGTAAATCAGCTGGTCAGCTGATGTACTGTTGTATTTGTCACTTCACATTAAATGTCATATTAAAAGTTAACTTTTGTGTAAAATTATGTTATGTTTCTTTTCCAATTTATTTGTTTTATGGAAACTGTAGGAAAAATATAATGTGCAACTTGAGTGCAAAGTGCAATTGCCTCACTCGAGAAACCATTTCTCACTCGCCTACGGCTCGTGAGTAAGGATTTCTCTCGAGTGAGTCGATTGCTCTCTTTGCTCACTAGTTGCACAAATAACTATTTTACTTTTCTTCCCTGTAAGTTGATGACAAATCAGTTACACCGGGTTAATTGAGGAGGGATATCTACTAGAGTATTATAAGTTAAATATTTTCCAAGCTGTTCAATATTGTCTACAAATCCTGTCCAGGCGCGTTGTTCACTGAAGACGTGCTGGACTACGAGACGTCACCGCTGCTGGAGATACGTGTCCGAGCCACTGACAGTCTAAGTGGTGCGACAGCTGACACCCTTGTCACCGTAGTGCTGACGGACGTCAACGACTGTGTCCCTACCTTCCTGGAGTCTGTCTACAACGTCTCTTTGCTGGAGTCCACTACTACTGGAACACTCATCGGCAGGATCGATGCCTTCGACAATGACACAGGTGAATATTTCATACTTATATGCTGCGTGTTTGTGTAGGCTGATAGAAAATTACCACACTAAACATAATCACCTACAAATTTATCATCCATATGGTACAGGTGGAGGTAGTTTTAAGGGTTGTCCAATCGGTTTATATTGAGGGCGGTTTCTTTTTGTTCACCATTTGCACTTGGTTTTATCTTTAGTTTTGCCATAAAATACCTTGTTCTCTTGCAAGATAACAACAACAAATAACGTTGTAAAATTTGTCAAAAAATAGAAGAGAAACATTTAATAGATAGAAGTGCAATTTTAACGACACCATCATGAATACTCATAAATCCCAGCCTCAGATTTAACAATGATTTACCCGCACTATTCAAAGTCTATGCTATTGCCTGGCTATATTATAACTGTACGTAGCTTTGGTTTAGAGAAAGCTTCGTGAAATTAAAACATGTTGTTTAAAAGATATAAAGAGCGGAATCGATGAAGATAGGCATTCTCTTTACACACAATCTTTCTAAAAGATATAAAGCGTTGATTAAAAAACTTAGTCAATATATAAACCAACAGCTTAACGTGTCTATATATTCAAGATATTTAGAAGTAAAAAAAAAAATCTAAATTCTGAAATTTTTTATATTTTCTAATTGTTCTATGCTTGAGTTCTCAGACGAAATTTTGTACGAAAAATCTTGTTATCGTATACTTTTACTGTTCTGGAATGTGGCCTATTCCGAGACAAGATGTTATCTACATTCTATTGTTGAATCTATTCTTTTAGGGGAAAATTTTCTTTTGAATAAATCTGTCTTGATTATAGAAGCAGATTCAAAGTACCGAGCCATGTTTTAAAGCTATATAAAAACAGGTATCTTACAAAATAAAGTATTTATGTCATATGTTTCGAGGATATAAATAAATAAATAATTTCATGAAAATAAAAATCTATTTCAGCGGTTTTTTTTTCAAAACTGTCAAACCTTTACAAGATGAATATTATAGTATGGATAAAATGCTAGAATGGCAACATACAAGCTAAGCATGTTTTCAAAACAGGTTCTTACGTTCAGAATTGACATATGTGATTCGTGTAGGCTACTGCTGTCTCGGATGTAGCTCAAACCGGCTCAAATTCTGCATTCACGTCACTTCCATATTTATCATCTAAATTATGTTATTGACTTAGCAACAACCAATTTGTTTAGAAACGATACCTTATGTACGTAGTTTAATTGTATATTTGTATATTTGATGGTATAATTGCTTATTGTATCATTTTACATTTATATTTTAAACATCGTATAGGCCTGAAAAGATTCATTAAAAACCAATGTTATATTTTTCGAATATTGCAAAACAATGTAGGAAGCAGAGTTATTAAGATTGAAAATTTAATTGTTCTTCAAAAGTTATTTAATCTTAGATTTGTTACCAAAGTTGGAAATGAGCTCTAATCAATGTAACTTTAACAGGCAATAAAACTAGGTACTTAGTACTACTATTCATATTATAAAAGCTTGCCTCTACAGCCGTATATAACCTACTAAGGCAAAGTATATATTTTCTGGCAAAGTTCCACTCTTCAGGCCCTTGTGATCATGGATTGTCTAGTTTCATTTGACCTCATTATATTGACCTAAATACGATTTTTTATTGTTCATAACACTAATTGCATCAACAACACACTATTTATCGCATTTAAATAGTGGATAAACTTGATTTATTTTGAATGTTGTCACGTACTTAATTTAGCACTAAAAATTCTTTATATTGACACAAGTTGAAGATGTATTTATTTTTGTATGTGTTTTATAGGAGTGATAGGTACGGTCCAGTACTCTGTGGCACCTCCCCCTCTACATTGTGGTATCTGTAACTTAATTGTTGAATAGGAGTGAGAGGTGCGGTCCAGTACTCTGTGGCACCTCCACTTCTACACGGTGTAGTTAACATTGACATACGAGATGTATCCGTATGTTTTGTATATTGTGTTAACCAGGAATAAGAGGTGCGGTCCAGTACTCTGTGGCACCTCCACCTCTACACGGTGTAGTCAGTGTTGACACACGAGATGTATCTGTATGTTGTGTATATTGTGTTGTATAGGAGTAAGTGGCGCGGTCCAGTACTCTGTGGCACATCCACCTCTACACGGTGTAGTCAGTGTTGACATACGAGATGTATCCGTATGTTTTGTATATTGTGTTAACCAGGAATAAGAGGTGCGGTCCAGTATTCTGTGGCACCTCCACCTCTACACGGTGTAGTCAGTGTTGACACACGAGATGTATCTGTATGTTGTGTATATTGTGTTGTATGGGAGTAAGAGGCGCGGTCCAGTACTCTGTGGCACCTCCACCTCTACACGGTGCAGTCAGTGTTGACACACGAGATGTATCTGTATGTTGTGTATATTGTGTTGTATAGGAGTAAGAGGTGCGGTCCAGTACTCTGTGGCACATCCACCTCTACACGGTGTAGTCAGTGTTGACATACGAGATGTATCCGTATGTTTTGTATATTGTGTTAACCAGGAATAAGAGGTGCGGTCCAGTACTCTGTGGCACCTCCACCTCTACACGGTGTAGTTAGTATTGACACACGAGATGTATCCGTATGTTTTGTATGTGTTGTACAGGAGTGAGAGGTGCGGTCCAGTACTCGGTAGCACATCCACCTCTACACGGTGTAGTCAGTGTTGACATACGAGATGTATCCGTATGTTTTGTATATTGTGTTAACCAGGAATAAGAGGTGCGGTCCAGTACTCTGTGGCACCTCCACCTCTACACGGTGTAGTCAGTGTTGACACACGAGATGTATCTGTATGTTGTGTATATTGTGTTGTATAGGAGTAAGAGGCGCGGTCCAGTACTCTGTGGCACATCCACCTCTACACGGTGCAGTCAGTGTTGACACACGAGATGTATCTGTATGTTGTGTATATTGTGTTGTATAAGAGTAAGAGGTGCGGTCCAGTACTCTGTGGCACCTCCACCTCTACACGGTGTAGTTAGTATTGACACACGAGATGTATCCGTATGTTTTGTATGTGTTGTACAGGAGTGAGAGGTGCGGTCCAGTACTCGGTAGCACATCCACCTCTACACGGTGTAGTCAGTGTTGACATACGAGATGTATCCGTATGTTTTGTATATTGTGTTAACCAGGAATAAGAGGTGCGGTCCAGTACTCTGTGGCACCTCCACCTCTACACGGTGTAGTCAGTGTTGACACACGAGATGTATCTGTATGTTGTGTATATTGTGTTGTATAGGAGTAAGTGGCGCGGTCCAGTACTCTGTGGCACATCCACCTCTACACGGTGTAGTCAGTGTTGACATACGAGATGTATCCGTATGTTTTGTATATTGTGTTAACCAGGAATAAGAGGTGCGGTCCAGTATTCTGTGGCACCTCCACCTCTACACGGTGTAGTCAGTGTTGACACACGAGATGTATCTGTATGTTGTGTATATTGTGTTGTATGGGAGTAAGAGGCGCGGTCCAGTACTCTGTGGCACCTCCACCTCTACACGGTGCAGTCAGTGTTGACACACGAGATGTATCTGTATGTTGTGTATATTGTGTTGTATAGGAGTAAGAGGTGCGGTCCAGTACTCTGTGGCACCTCCACCTCTACACGGTGCAGTCAGTGTTGACACACGAGATGTATCTGTATGTTGTGTATATTGTGTTGTATAGGAGTAAGAGGCGCGGTCCAGTACTCTGTGGCACCTACACATCTACACGGTGTAGTCAGTGTTGACACACGAGATGTATCTGTATGTTTTGCATGTGTCGTATAGGAGTGAGAGGTGTGGTTCAGTACTCTGTGGCACCTCCACCTCTACACGGTGTAGTCAGTGTCGACTCGCAGGACGGATCTGTATATCTGTCACAAACACTCGACCGAGAACTCAATTCCACGTTTCAATTGGTCCTGACGGCTACAGACGGAGGTCTGCCTAAGCTGTCTTCTTCAGCCATCTTATCCCTTCACGGTCAGCATATTGATATGACATTTGTTTTTACTTGCTTCTTATTTTTATCCATAATAATATTTATTTCTAATGGTAAACTTGTTGTACATATAAATTCATATTTTTGGCATCTATTTTATTATGAATATTAGATTTTGAATTGAAATAGATTATTGGTTTGTGATAAATATATTTTTTAGTTTACGATACGATGTTTCTAACTATATAGGATATAAATAGATCTATGCTTAGTGTTATGCTTGGAATTAGAACGCATTTTTCTTAAATTTGCTTGAAATGTGTTTACATTTTTTTCCATATACATTATTTACGTTTTGAGAGGAACGGTACAAACCGTAGTCTTTTAGCTAGCATATTAAGTATTTAACAAAATTAAGATATTTGCTTTACATAAATTAATTGTTTATGGTCTACACACAAATTTTACTTTTACCTTCAGCAAACTGCCACTTATCGGATTTGATAGTAAAAAAAATCTACTTATTAAGTGTAAGGATGTAATAATGTGCAAAGTTGCGTATGTTTAAAACTTATTAGATTAAGGTACTGAATTAAGGCCAAGTATTTGCAGTATTTTTTCGTTCCAACTAGCCAGATGATCAGGTACCTACTAAACCATTCCGAAGCTTTAATATCATAATTTTAGACCTTTAAGTTTAAAAAATGTAGTTTTTAATAACCAAGTTTTTTGGGCTATTTTCAGTTCTAGACGTAAACGATAACCCTCCCAAGTTTGAGCGGCCGACCTACAGCTGCCGTCTGTCAGCGGAGGCGGTCGCTGGGCAGATGGTGACTGTCGTACACGCCAAGGACCCTGACATCGGGCCTTTGTCTTACCTCATCGTGGCCGGCAACGAACACCACACCTTCAGTATAAACCCTTTGACAGGTTGGTACTTTTATATGAAAATAAAAACAGCAAAGTCAGTTGTGTCTGAAAACATTATCATTTGCATGTGACTAAAGATCGTTTTACAATCTAAAATATACAATAAACACTTTACAAGTCTCTGTATATACTCTCCTTAAAATTTCATTTGAGATCCAAACCGCTTGGTAAGGATTCAGATGAGACACATCTCTTATATTTTACGAGTTGTTAAAACTAACTTTATTTACAGGAATGATATCAGTGTTCAACATCTTGCATCTTGCACGTCCGGAGCCACACGTTCTAAACGTCTCAGTCACAGACGGGGTTCACACAAGGTTCTGCAAGGTCTCAATTAATATCCTCTTGACCAATCAGCACGCACCCGTCTTCTCGGCCAATCAGGTAGAAGCCTCCGTGGGAGAGAACCAACCAGCAGGCACATACGTAACTACAGTGATTGCGACTGATCAAGACAGCGGGCTGCATGGCAAGATCTCGTACTATATAACTACGGAGCTCATGCGGTCCTTGTTCAAAATAGATACTGACACTGGTAAGTAACAATCATACTTTGGAAACCTAGTAAGGAAATTTGCACGCATTTACTAAGTAGTAAACCAAAGTTTGGTCGGGTAGCTGGACTTCTAGACATATTAGCCATCACACAACAGTCCTTATCAATATTTTAGAATCAAGGACTCTGTAATGAAAATATTGCTGTAATGGAAATATTGCTTATGAACCTAAGTTGTTTTAATGCCAAAGCAACAACCTAACTGAAACTGCAGTTCATTTTCGCACTTCTAAAGATTCACATGGATTTCCTTCACGACCAGTTCCTTCCCACCAAGAGTTAAAATCTCTCAGAGACAATTGTGGAAAACATTGATTTTTAAACACATACAGCGAAGTAATTTATTAAAAGAATTGGTAGTTATTATTTACAGCATAATTTCAAGCCTAATTATAATTTTATTTATAAAGGTTAGTAATAATATTATATAATTAATCTAAAAATACTTAATTAATATAACTGAATATAAATATATAAAACTAAAACAGAGTCGTGTTAGTTAGAGAACGTATAACTGAAGAACGGCTGGGCTGATTTTAATGATTTTTGATTCGTTCGATTCTTCTCTGCTTCGATTAACATACAGTATAGGCATATTCAGGTTTTTTTTTTAACCTTAAGGCTAAGCTAAGGACGGGGGCGTTGTCCTGTAATCAAGCTACTAGGAGGTTACGTATTGTGGATATTTATAGGCATGCACTGTGGATGCGATACTCCTTTGTGTGGATTAACGTCTGCATTAGTGAGTACTACGACTATCCGCAGTACTATTCTGATCATTAGACCATTTATAAGTGAAAACTCTTAATCTCATATTAGCCTACTCAAATACCTTTTACTGTTTTCGTAATTTTCGTTTTCAGTTTTACCATATTTAATAAAATAAGAAAGCCAAGTTTTCTTAGTGATGACCAGTCTTAATTCCTCTTTTGATTATTTTTTTTTTACTGACGATCGATCTATATTTGAAATATGAATATTAACAGTAAAGTTCTACAAAATATTCATGATAATTAACATTTGTTGAAGGCTATTTGTTAGTAATTTTGGAAATCCTTGGAGTAATTTTTAAAAACGCACAACCGTAACTAGTTACTTTATTCCATAACAAAGCAAGACAAATTTACGAAGCTTAAACAACATAATTTTACATTTGGTAAGATTCTTGTGCTGTATTTAATAGTTAGAAGCTTTTTTCTAACTTGGCCAGTAAAAGAGATTGCCAAAGGCATATCACTAAACAAGAAGTAGTACAAGAAAGTGCTTTTATCCGAAACCCAAGGTGGATTTAACGTGTGTAGTGTCACTGTTGGAAATATATTAAACATTTCCCGCACTTTGTGTTACTGTGCCTTAGTGTAAGATTATAAAACGTGAATAAAGTCTTGAATAATAACTGACATGCCCACAGAGTCACCACAATTATTCAAGGTGTCTTTATTTTTCAATTTAGCCTATTTTGTATTCTTGAACATTAATTTAGTAGTTTGATTTAAATTGTTATACAAGACGCACGTAATGTGTTGTTGTAATATGGGTGAATTATGGTTTTGTATCTCTCATCTTTTTTATTAAGGAGCGCAAGACTTTTCCCCTAATCCCCGTGATCAAATTCTGTAACCTATAATGAATTTTGGCTATGGGATTAAACCTAAATCTAGTAGTTCCTTGAAGCTTTATATCCACCAAAGTATAAAAATTAGCTCCATCATGTGAGGAAAACTGACTGTGTACTGGACAAATTCCTACACCTAATTCCATACTAAAATTAATTAATCAACCAATAGTTTAGACACCTCAACATTCGTCATTACATTTAAGGCGCCCCTTATGTTTGGCATAACGTCGCATAACGGTTTCTACAACTTTTAGAGCGACCGTATTCTTACATCTATATAACAAATTAAGTCAAACACATTGGTAAATAGGAAGAACACAGCCATCGATATTTCTAAGGTATTAATACTTTTTCTGAATAATTTTCTGGGAAGAAATTTTATTACACACTAGCAGAGTACCCGTCCTTCGTACGGGGTTGGCGTATAAGTATAAAATGCTTATTGCAGTTATACTCGTGCTTTGCGTTTGCAATGGGAGACGACGCGTTTTAAGGAGATTGTATTTACACGATATTATAGTTTACGGTATACTACTATTAGTTGTACATCTACCATAGCCATAATGTTCTATCACTGCACATAAATAATATAAAGAAAAAAAGTTATCACAGCTTTTTGTTGCTGCTTGGATTTAAATTAGCTGTTGTCTTAAATGAAAAAAAGGAATTAGTAGTGCTGCACATTGTTGGTAAACCTTATAAACTTTTAATGCTATTGAATATCATAGAACCAACTTGTGTAGTTAAAAAACATTTCTTGAATTCCTTTTAAATATGAATACTCATAATGTTAACATGGGAAACTCAGTAGCATGATTACTACTGAGCCAACCAGTTTTAAATTGCCATGCCTGGCTTACCAATGCACAATTTAAAACTGGTTGGCTCAGTAGTAATCATGCTACGTAGTCGAAACCTATTAAAACTGTGCAATGGGACTCGATTGGTGGTAAAAAAATCAAAGCAAAAAAATCAGTTGCATGGGTTCATACATAACGCAAGGAAAAAAAATCAGAAAAATGTGCAATCAAGTCTCAGTGTTGAAGAAGTTCAGCAAGCTGAAGAATGTTGCTTTAGGCTTTTTTCAACAGGAATCATTTGCTCAAGATTTAAAGACACTTTTGAAAACAAACGTGTTCTGAAACAGAGCAAACTTTTCAAATTGAGTCTAATTTTATTTGGAAACCTTCTGAAAATGAGTGGAAGAACTGAATACGGAAATCAAAACAGCAAAGACTTAAAAAATCCAATCATTTTAGATCCTAAGCAGCGACTAACAGTTCTTTTAATACAACACGAACACGAAAAATTGGCTCATCAGGGACAAGAAACTGTAGCCAACAACTTGGGACAGAAGTTTTGGATTTTAAGAACGAAACAAGCTATCAAAAGTTGTTGCGCAAACTGCAGAAGATGTCAAATTCGTTGAACCATGCCCAAGACCCCAGAAATGGCTCCTCTGCCTGCTTACAGGCTAGAACCCTATGGTAGACCGTTCACCTGGGTGTCGATAGATTATTTTGGCCCGTTAGAAGTTACAGTGGATCGAAGGCGAGAAAAACGTTACGGAGCATTGTTTACATGTCTCTCAGTGCGAGCTGTTCATTTGGAGCTTGCGACGTCACTGAACTCTGACTCAGCCATACAAGCCATAAGAAGATTTGCAGCAAGAAGAGGATGTCCTGATGAATTAAAATCGGACAATGGAACCAACTTAAGCTCTCCAATCTTTTGACGAAGACCACATAATGTCATTCTGTACAGAAAAGAAGATAAAATGGAGTTTCCTAACACCAGCTAGTCCACATATGGGAGGAGCTTAAGAACGTTTGGTGCAGTCAGTCAAAAAATGCTTATATGTCATTTTGAACTAACAAGCTCCTCGTGAAGAAACTTTGAGAACGTTACTCTGCGAGGTGGAATCTATCGTGAACAACAGACCTCTTTATCCGGATATTGAATATATTCTCTCAACCATCGCTTCCAATATTTGTCGGCATAATCTTGAGCGATTTTCCATTGTTTACGTAGATGTTTCTCATTGATTGCAAGGGAAGGTCTTTACTTCCTAAAATAAGGTGGTTAGGAGTTAAAGGAAGTTCGTCCGCAAGATCTTCGGATACAGGATAAAGCTCTATATTCCATCCTGTATTGATCTCTATTGAGCAACATTTGTATTGATCTTGAATTTTAAACTTTCAAACATTTCATAAGATTAACTTCTATCTTATAAAGTTATTTCCCGCGTTCATTTAAAATTTTTAAATAAAATATTGACATTGAATATTTTATTTGTAGTAATTTTGCCTTACGACATTCTTTATGGAAAACATTAAATTATATTTTCACGTTGCTTGTAATAGGGCGTTTCTAGGCTTCTGTGAAAACCAAAACCAGCTAAGCTACAATTTCTGGCTGTTAATCTGTTTATCAGTTCTTCCACATGAAGTACCCCTTTTGGTTTTTGATTCACAGGACATCCAGACCACTGCTTGACAATTCAATATATGACGAGTGAGAACAAACTGGGCATACCTTATGTAAAGTCGTATGCTTGATCTGAGCTGTGGCTATTACTTCTCTTGTAGCAATGTAAATTCATGTCACTGTATTATTGTTTTACGTATCGATATTGTCTACTGAAATTCTCACGGTTCAGTGCTGAGATGCAAATCTATAGCTGTCAATATTACATAGCTGCATATTTTAAAAATAAGGTTTGGAAAATGTAATAAATTTATAACCCTGCACAAAACGTTACTAGAGGGATTTTCACGTTATCTTTTAAAAAATAATGTACCAAATTAAATATAAAGTATTTTAAAAGGCCATATAGTATGTTATACAATAAATGACCTTGCTAAACAATTCTAATATTTTTTCCTATGTTAACCGTTTATTTTCTTTACTATCCAAACACATATTTAAAAAATAGCTCAATGAATTAACCATTAAATCACTTGCTATATTAGTTTTTGATAGATCAAACTAAATAACTAGTAAACCTAATACATTTGAAGTGATAAAATGTAACTCCATAATAGACGTAACATCCATGCATAAAAAGTATACTAAGTAGACTTTTAGTTTGAATAAGGGCTGAAACGCTGACATGGCTATTGTCTAAGTTCACTCATTGGTAAAAACCTTCTTTTATGAAGTTAAATGTGAATCTACTTGGTAATAAAACACTACTGTCTTTCAAGCGTTTAATAAAATGCCTATACAATCAAACTAAAAACAGTTATTGTTGCATCAGTCAGTAGGTAAATTTTACATAAAACTGCAAATCTAATAAGTTTAGTTTTATTTTTATTGCCTGAAACTGTGTAATCTATTATATTCTCGCCCTGGAGAGCGAGCTGGTCTACCGGTATGCCTCTGGCCCTAACATCGATTTAAGTCACCCGATTTTGTATCGGTGATGCAGTCCTCATCTATACGACAAGAACCACAACCTCCACACCATTTAATTTTCGTGGCGGTTATGTTTTTCGTTTTACTTTATTGGTAAAACGGGCAGTTTCTCGGAAGCCGTGGACGAGTGTAGGTGTTGCACATTCATATCAACAGTGGTTAAAACCATGAAGTAAAATCACGAATACGAAACTTGTTGTTGCCATGTGACTGTTGTTGTGGCGTCGAATGGCACATGTACTAAATCCTATGCCACTCGTAGGCAAAAGTACCGGATTTACAACAGAAATTAAGATCTCATTGTCAATTACTAATTCACTAATGCTATTGTCAGCCCTCACTATTCACTATCTACAGAATCAATATATGCGAAGTGTACAATATGCGAGAAGGCGCAGCAAGGGCTACTGGTGAAAACGGACGATAGCAAACAGACATTGGCATGTGGACCAACCTCCATTTGGAGGTGTACGCCACTGTGTTCCAAGAATCGGGTAACAGTCGTGGATCACAGTGGCAGTGGACGACTGCATGTTGACAGTTTGTTGTTGTCGTTTGACTGTCGGAGTGGGTACAACATTGAAATTTGGTCGGGTGATATGTCGGGTGACCAAAATCGTTGTATAGGCAAGGAAAAATCGTCTTAATAATAACACACGAGCCTAATCTCCTAGGATGTGAAAGAGGAACACTACAAAATTGTCATTGTGTCCAGGTGTGATGGTGACAGCAGTGCCACTAGACAGGGAGCACCACGCCAAGGTGGAGGTGGCGGTGGTGGCGGTCGATGGAAGAGACAGGTCTGACATTGCCTCTGTATGAAACTACAATATTGTCATTGTGTCCAGGTGTCATGGTGACTGCAGTGCCACTAGACAGGGAGCACCACGCCAAGGTGGAGGTGGCGGTGGTGGCGGTCGATGGAGGAGGCAGGTCTGACATTGCCTCTGTATGAAACTACAATATTGTCATTGTGTCCAGGTGTCATGGTGACTGCAGTGCCACTAGACAGGGAGCACCACGCCATGGTGGAGGTGGCGGTGGTGGCGGTCGATGGAAGAGACAGGTCTGACATTGCCTCTGTATGAAACTACAATATTGTCATTGTGTCCAGGTGTCATGGTGACTGCAGTGCCACTAGACAGGGAGCACCACGCCAAGGTGGAGGTGGCGGTGGTGGCGGTCGATGGAAGAGACAGGTCTGACATTGCCTCTGTATGAAACTACAATATTGTCATTGTGTCCAGGTGTCATGGTGACTGCAGTGCCACTAGACAGGGAGCACGACGCCATGGTGGAGGTGGCGGTGGTGGCGGTCGATGGAGGAGGCAGGTCTGACATTGCCTCTGTATGAAACTACAATATTGTCATTGTGTCCAGGTGTCATGGTGACTGCAGTGCCACTAGACAGGGAGCACCACGCCATGGTGGAGATGGCGGTGGTGGCGGTCGATGGAAGAGACAGGTCTGACATTGCCTCTGTATGAAACTACAATATTGTCATTGTGTCCAGGTGTCATGGTGACTGCAGTGCCACTAGACAGGGAGCACCACGCCATGGTGGAGGTGGCGGTGGTGGCGGTGGTGGCGGTCGATGGAGGAGGCAGGTCTGACATTGCCTCTGTATGAAACTACAATATTGTCATTGTGTCCAGGTGTCATGGTGACTGCAGTGCCACTAGACAGGGAGCACCACGCCATGGTGGAGATGGCGGTGGTGGCGGTCGATGGAAGAGACAGGTCTGACATTGCCTCTGTATGAAACTACAATATTGTCATTGTGTCCAGGTGTCATGGTGACTGCAGTGCCACTAGACAGGGAGCACCACGCCATGGTGGAGGTGGCGGTGGTGGCGGTCGATGGAAGAGACAGGTCTGACATTGCCTCTGTATGAAACTACAATATTGTCATTGTGTCCAGGTGTCATGGTGACTGCAGTGCCACTAGACAGGGAGCACCACGCCATGGTGGAGATGGCGGTGGTGGCGGTCGATGGAAGAGACAGGTCTGACATTGCCTCTGTATGAAACTACAATATTGTCATTGTGTCCAGGTGTCATGGTGACTGCAGTGCCACTAGACAGGGAGCACCACGCCAAGGTGGAGGTGGCGGTGGTGGCGGTCGATGGAAGAGACAGGTCTGACATTGCCTCTGTATGAAACTACAATATTGTCATTGTGTCCAGGTGTCATGGTGACTGCAGTGCCACTAGACAGGGAGCACCACGCCATGGTGGAGATGGCGGTGGTGGCGGTCGATGGAAGAGACAGGTCTGACATTGCCTCTGTATGAAACTACAATATTGTCATTGTGTCCAGGTGTCATGGTGACTGCAGTGCCACTAGACAGGGAGCACCACGCCATGGTGGAGATGGCGGTGGTGGCGGTCGATGGAAGAGACAGGTCTGACATTGCCTCTGTATGAAACTACAATATTGTCATTGTGTCCAGGTGTCATGGTGACTGCAGTGCCACTAGACAGGGAGCACCACGCCATGGTGGAGATGGCGGTGGTGGCGGTCGATGGAAGAGACAGGTCTGACATTGCCTCTGTATGAAACTACAATATTGTCATTGTGTCCAGGTGTCATGGTGACTGCAGTGCCACTAGACAGGGAGCACCACGCCATGGTGGAGGTGGCGGTGGTGGCGGTCGATGGAGGAGGCAGGTCTGACATTGCCTCTGTATGAAACTACAATATTGTCATTGTGTCCAGGTGTCATGGTGACTGCAGTGCCACTAGACAGGGAGCACGACGCCATGGTGGAGGTGGCGGTGGTGGCGGTCGATGGAGGAGGCAGGTCTGACATTGCCACTGTATGAACACTACTTATTGTCTATGTGTCCAGGTGTGATGGTGACTGCAGTGCCACTAGACAGGGAGCACCACGCCATGGTGGAGGTGGCGGTGGTGGCGGTCGATGGAGGAGGCAGGTCTGACATTGCCTCTGTATGAAACTACAATATTGTCATTGTGTCCAGGTGTCATGGTGACTGCAGTGCCACTAGACAGGGAGCACCACGCCATGGTGGAGATGGCGGTGGTGGCGGTCGATGGAAGAGACAGGTCTGACATTGCCTCTGTATGAAACTACAATATTGTCATTGTGTCCAGGTGTCATGGTGACTGCAGTGCCACTAGACAGGGAGCACCACGCCATGGTGGAGATGGCGGTGGTGGCGGTCGATGGAGGAGGCAGGTCTGACATTGCCTCTGTATGAAACTACAATATTGTCATTGTGTCCAGGTGTCATGGTGACTGCAGTGCCACTAGACAGGGAGCACCACGCCATGGTGGAGATGGCGGTGGTGGCGGTCGATGGAGGAGGCAGGTCTGACATTGCCTCTGTATGAAACTACAATATTGTCATTGTGTCCAGGTGTCATGGTGACTGCAGTGCCACTAGACAGGGAGCACCACGCCATGGTGGAGGTGGCGGTGGTGGCGGTCGATGGAGGAGGCAGGTCTGACATTGCCTCTGTATGAAACTACAATATTGTCATTGTGTCCAGGTGTCATGGTGACTGCAGTGCCACTAGACAGGGAGCACCACGCCAAGGTGGAGGTGGCGGTGGTGGCGGTCGATGGAAGAGACAGGTCTGACATTGCCTCTGTATGAAACTACAATATTGTCATTGTGTCCAGGTGTCATGGTGACTGCAGTGCCACTAGACAGGGAGCACGACGCCATGGTGGAGGTGGCGGTGGTGGCGGTGGTGGCGGTCGATGGAAGAGACAGGTCTGACATTGCCTCTGTATGAAACTACAATATTGTCATTGTGTCCAGGTGTCATGGTGACTGCAGTGCCACTAGACAGGGAGCACCACGCCAAGGTGGAGGTGGCGGTGGTGGCGGTCGATGGAAGAGACAGGTCTGACATTGCCTCTGTATGAAACTACAATATTGTCATTGTGTCCAGGTGTCATGGTGACTGCAGTGCCACTAGACAGGGAGCACCACGCCAAGGTGGAGGTGGCGGTGGTGGCGGTCGATGGAAGAGACAGGTCTGACATTGCCTCTGTATGAAACTACAATATTGTCATTGTGTCCAGGTGTCATGGTGACTGCAGTGCCACTAGACAGGGAGCACGACGCCATGGTGGAGGTGGCGGTGGTGGCGGTCGATGGAAGAGACAGGTCTGACATTGCCTCTGTATGAAACTACAATATTGTCATTGTGTCCAGGTGTCATGGTGACTGCAGTGCCACTAGACAGGGAGCACCACGCCATGGTGGAGGTGGCGGTGGTGGCGGTCGATGGAGGAGGCAGGTCTGACATTGCCTCTGTATGAAACTACAATATTGTCATTGTGTCCAGGTGTCATGGTGACTGCAGTGCCACTAGACAGGGAGCACCACGCCAAGGTGGAGGTGGCGGTGGTGGCGGTCGATGGAAGAGACAGGTCTGACATTGCCTCTGTATGAAACTACAATATTGTCATTGTGTCCAGGTGTCATGGTGACTGCAGTGCCACTAGACAGGGAGCACCACGCCATGGTGGAGGTGGCGGTGGTGGCGGTCGATGGAGGAGGCAGGTCTGACATTGCCTCTGTATGAAACTACAATATTGTCATTGTGTCCAGGTGTCATGGTGACTGCAGTGCCACTAGACAGGGAGCACCACGCCATGGTGGAGATGGCGGTGGTGGCGGTCGATGGAAGAGACAGGTCTGACATTGCCTCTGTATGAAACTACAATATTGTCATTGTGTCCAGGTGTCATGGTGACTGCAGTGCCACTAGACAGGGAGCACGACGCCATGGTGGAGGTGGCGGTGGTGGCGGTCGATGGAGGAGGCAGGTCTGACATTGCCACTGTATGAACACTACTTATTGTCTATGTGTCCAGGTGTGATGGTGACTGCAGTGCCACTAGACAGGGAGCACCACGCCATGGTGGAGGTGGCGGTGGTGGCGGTCGATGGAGGAGGCAGGTCTGACATTGCCACTGTCAGGGTCGCTATCTCAGATGTCAACGATAACGCTCCGGAATTCTACTTTCCCGAATACCACGTTTGCATTCCCACAAACCTGTCCATTGACTCGGTGTTTCTCAAGGTAGGTTATTGTTTATCTTGAAATACAACGGTGTAATTTGTATGTCTTATTTGGGGTTTAAGTATTACATTAACAGGCTTAGTTCAGAATTTCTGTTCAACTGGATATTGATTTGTCCCCATAAATGAAATTACAGTTTTGACCGTGCTTTGCGTGAATTGACGAAGTTTTTTGTTTGTTATTTTTACAAGAAAGTCAAAACTAGTCTTATGTCAGTTGCCGTATTTGTGCCTGTGTTACTAAACTGCCAATGTACGCGGCCTACTCCAGGTTAACTAGTTTATCTATCAAGTTTGAAATAGTTTTCCTGTATTTACTTAACTGGTGAAAATGTCTTTAACCTAACCAATTTCAAAACAAAATAACGTACTTTTAAATATCCCATTCTTTCGTAGATGATTTGTATTTCAAGACGTTTTTTGAACGAGTATATACAAATAATTACTATGTAGTAAAAGAGTTTTCACTTAAGTATGTCCTGTCTGGGTTCTGGGCCGCAAAGAACGTACAGTCTAATTGAATTTCTATTTGTCTGATTGGAATTTTACATATATTTCCATAAACAAGAAATATTTATTCCTGATTTAATTATAAGTAATATTAGATTAAACCAGTTTTAAAGTTTGCTGCTACGAAGAAAACAATTTTTCTTTTTATTAATAGTTTACAGGATAGGATGAAATTAATAAATTTGACAAATTAACCCAAAAACAGACAAACTACAACAGTTTTGTTCTCTAAAAGAATAATATGGATAATTTAAATGTACAGGTTTTATAATTTTTTTCTATAACTTTTGGTTGCACAAAAATCATTTGCAATGCTTTAATGTACAATATTGTTTGTTTTTTTAAGTTCTACACGACGGTTGAAAAATAAGTTGGGTATTTCGATGTTGTATGGGTAACAATTTCTTCAAATTATGTTTGAAACATTTTAAAACTCCATAACACCGCTTTCATAGAGACGCGAGCTTGCTGTGTGTCTGTCTGTCGGTGACGCTTAAGTACCCTTATTTGTCAGCTTTAACGGGAAAAGTAAAGAGCACAGTTGCTGATAAACATTTTCACCAGTATAGTATTCAGCGGTTAGGGTAATAAGCTAGCTGCTTTTAACCACTTCTAGACTCGAAGTTCTGTAAGATTGCAGTTTTATTCTAAAATCATCAGACTTGAAAACAGACGAGAGTCTAAATAGATAGCCGCGTAACGTGTATTTGCTATGTGCTCGTATTAGGTTTTCTTAGACACTGTATTTTCATTATCATTAGATATTGTGTTTGAAGGTTATGTGTATAGGTTTCGTCTGCATCTTGAATAATGTAAACTTTTATGTAAACAAACAGATGATCTAAATTAAATTAGGTTTCAACTATTACACAAAGAATAACACCCCTGTCCGTAGACCGTTCTAGGTCTAGTTTCAATATAAAGTAATAAATTAACTTGCAATAACCTTTAGAGTTAGGTTAACTACATGTTTCGTGGTGACTAACACATTTGAAGTTTATCTTCTTCTACGATTCGTCATGAATAAAATTTAACACTCGATACGAGACACACACTAACAAATGAATACGTTTCAAGTAAAAACTATACTTACCTGTAATTTTTAACAAAAAACAAGTGAATGTGGCATATTTCTTTAATAAAAACTAAATAAAAACTGTAATATTGATTACAAATCGGCAAGTTTAAGTTTAACATACATTTTTGACATTTCTTCGTGTAATAGTGCTCAAGTTTAAGACAATTCTTTGTACAAGATAAAACACCACAGGAAACTCTTAACAGTATAGAACACTTTAAAAATATGGTTTTTTAGGTAAAAGCACGGGACAAAGACACTGGAACTGCAGGAGTGGTGGAGTATTCAATATATAATCTGCAATCCAAAAGAGTAAAACATCTGTTCGGCATCAATCCTCAGACTGGATCTATCGTTTTGTTGCAGTCAGTCTCTCAGCATGGTGAGTCAGCACTCTCCTGTGAGATCTTCCAGAAACTTGTATATCTTGCTATAATTTAAACCAAAATTAATGCAAATGCCTTCATCTAACGTACATTACCCTGCATTAGCTTTTTTCACACCACTATTTGTGTAAATTTACTCCAGTTACATTTTTTTTATTTTAAGGAAAAAATAAACAACGGTTCTCTTACGTCAAACTTTGTTGATAATACTGTATAGTTAATTGATACATGAATGACAAACGATACCTGAGTTTAGAATTTACCTTGCTTGGGAGAAAACGTAAAAATGTATGTATAAAAAATTTTGTATATTTTGTTAGTTGAATATCATAAAATAGTTTTTTTTTAGCAAAGCATAAATCTAGTGTAATTTAATAATTACAGGAGCTTTATAATGGTAATAATACCGTGGTTTGAAGCCATTTTTTGCGGGATGAATATTAAAAGTCAAACACTGAAAGTAATGCATGCTTATCTAAATCTCCGTTTAATGCATTACGCTCCAGAGCAGACAAAAGTTATTTTCCCAGTGGAGCTTTACATTATGCGGAATCATGGCGACTGTGCCACGATAGTGACGTCATTTGTTGATGACTCGAGGCACTGCATGAAACTTGGGTGTACTTGTTTTTTCTTTTCAGACAAAAAATGATGTTATATACCAGTTTAACAACATGTTCACATAAAACATTTACATTATCTACAGAAGGTGTTACATTGTTTTTTCATTGTAGTGTAGTTGTATATTTTTAAATTACTAATTCATTTTTACTGTACTATTTATTAAAAAAAATACAGTTGCTAGTACAAGTATGGTTATTGCTCAACATTTCATAATTATTTAATACCTCAAACGTTTAAAATTTAGTTTATATTATAACCGTTAACTGATGCTTTGGAGAGCAATTGGCCGCAACAGATTGGCATAGTTCTAAAAGGGCACTCCCTGTTTACTGATCTTAGTAAGAGATTAAATTACTTTTATTTTGACACAAAGATAACTAAATACTCTCTGGTATGGATAGGACAAGATGTTAAACCTTTACTTGAGTTGCAGCATTTCCTTAATATCAGCATGTCCCAGTTTTTAGCAAACTAAAATCTACCATACGCTCCATTCAACATTAAAGCTTTTAATTTTCTTCTATGAAAAGAGTGACTGCTAGTTGCTGAATTGTAGTCAAACAAAGATTAGATGCAGTGCAGCCAGTGTGGTCTTGTTGGAAATATATGAGTGGAGACTTGTATTATAGAACTGTCAGTTGAATTAGCTATCTCATCTCTCACATTCGCAGAGCGTCAACATTTCCAGTTCTTCGTTCGCGCGGCTGACGGTGGCGCTCCACCCTTGTTCTCAGACGTTGCAGTCAATGTGTATGTGATGCGACCAGAGGACACGCCCCCCACCTTCCACCGACGCGACCAGAGAGTCTTTGTCCCGGAGCATGCGCCACCTGGTCAGTACGATCACATAAACAATTCTAGTACTTTTTGCTTTCTTATAGCTTTGTACCACATATCTTTATTGAATACTTAACTACTTCGTACCCTACTAAATCTCAAACCAATATAAATTGAACTACATACATTCCCTTACTAAGGGGATTTACTGTTGTTGAATTTATTGTCGTAGTAGTTAAGTGTGCAATGAAAATAAGTGTTGTATGAGCTCGTATTATTATTATTATTGGCGTCCTCTTTTAACCTTACATTTTGCCCGTACACATAGACTACAGATTTGTGTGTGGAATGTATCCAGCAAAGTAAGGGGTGAGCCGGTGCAGTACGAAGGTGAACTGTACCGATAAAATGTTAGCGGCAGTGACCAGGATTCGAACCCACGACATCGCTGCCTTAGGCCCGAAGTCCGTGACGCTACCAACTGAGCCACCGACTCACCCAACATCAACTCTGGTGTTCGATTTTTTGTGTTGGTTCCAACTGTATATACATTTTGATACTCGTACTATACACATACAGAACTCGGAACGGAATGTTTGAATAATAACATAGAATTACCTCAAATATAAAAATGAATACTGCTTGTATGGTTTCATTTTGAAATAACATTTGAAATTGGATCTATTTTTATGTCAGTTGAGAATTGCATTACACGATCTTCTTCTCTTTATATTACTCGTAGAGATATTCATGGAGCTATAATTAGTTTCTTGTATTACATTACTAATACATGTCATACTAGTAACATAGTTAGGTTTAATTAATTATACACACAGTACGATTGGCATTTGATTTATATAACCAAGCAAAATTGTGTATCTTGACCAAATAAATGTTTATTATACATTTGTATTAACCTTTTAATCTAGATTAGTATGTTGCAAACTATAAAATGCACTTCCAACAACATTATGTATGTTGAAAAGATTACATAGATCGTCATGAAGTATTATTAGATTGCATCAAGGGATATTATATCGCGATACATTCCGCAGTTACTCTTTGTTACTTTGGCTTAGTGATAGCATAGCTATATTGAAGAATTATCGAGTATAGTTTGCTGTACATTTCACAATTATTCTTCGTTACTTTAGCTCAATGATATCATAGGTCATGTGAAGTGTTTTTGAGTACACATTGCTCTACATTTTACAATATTCTTCGTTACTTTAGCTCAATGATATCATAGCTATAAAGCGTTATTGAGTATACATTGCTGTACATTTCTCATTTATTATTTGTCTCCTGAGCAAATTGATAACCATAGTGGGGTGTTATTAAATTTGTAAAAATACTTGCTCTACCTTTTTATTTCAAAAGCTCCGTGATTATGAAATTAAAGCTATAGATAGTATACTTCGCTCTTATACTCAGGTACAGTAATAAACAACATGAAGGTAAAGAAGGTAACATGGTAAATTCCACAATTATTAATCGCTACTTCAGCTCAGTGATACACAACAATAGCTCAAGTGAGCTCAATATTCTTTGTTCCACAGGTACAGTTGTAGCCCAAGTGAAGCTTGTGACGCCTATGACTGTGGAGTACAAGCTCCTGTCTAATTCTACGCAGTTCTCTATCGACAGCAAGGGTCTTATCACGTTGACCTCTGCCCTGGACCGTGAGCTGTCACCTTCCCACACTCTGGGAGTTCTTGCGCTGAAGTCTCCTTTGTCGGGATTCACCGAGGTGTACGTCATCGTTGTTGACATCAACGACAACCCTCCTCACTTTCACAGCTCCACGTATAACATCCGTGTCGCCGAGAACGTTGACGAAGGCACTTCGATCGTGAGAGGTAGGATATCTTGAGAACACTCATAAGATTAACATTCAATCTTAATGTTAGAATACATTTGAGAAATTCTTCCTCTTGTATGGCACCTCTTCAATGCTTGCATTGCACAGTAGACTACTTACATTCAGGGATCATGGAAAACTCGGCTGATTACAGTAGAACACCTCGACCACAATCTTTCTCTATTGAAAAGCACAACATCTATATCACAACGATATTTGTATTTCAGTACTGTACGGTCGTCGGTCATGTGTATTTCTCCTAGTTATGAGCCTTGCGAACTTTTCAAACTAATTATACATGGTTAATTATCATCAAACTATATATTTCATTGGTAAATGCTGTAAAAATGTGATATACTTCTATCAAAGTGTCACCACACAATTAAAAATCAATGAAAGGGCTGGAGTAAGCTAGTATGATACTGTATCTGATGTTCCAGTGTCAGCTAGTATGATACTGTATCTGATGTTTCGGTGTCAGCAAGTATGATACTGTATCTGATGTTCCAGTGTCAGCTAGTGATGATGACGAAGGTGGTGCGGGCGAAGTTCGCTACTCCATCGCCTCACCTGTGCTGACAGTAGACCCGTACTCTGGCTGGGTGTCCGTTGTATCTGCTCTAGACCGAGAGGTGGAGCCTATACACTCCGCTGTACTCACTGCCACTGACAACGGCGACCCCGCGCTCTCCTCCACCGCTGTCCTGCTCCTAGACATCGTAGACTACAACGACAGTCCGCCGACCTTCTCTGAGAGACTATACAGTGTGTCGGGTATGTAACACCAACGTGAAGTAAATTTTTGACTCGATAAAATATTCCATCCCACCAAATGCATGAATGCATGTTTTCGTTTCAATTTAGATCTTTAGAGTTCCTAGATGTAGCTGAATAGTTATAGGACCAACTAGTCAAGAGGATACTTATAAATTCTGAAAGGTCAGTAACTTTTTAACGGTTTTAAACAGGACCAAGCTGGCCTAAATTATTGAACCTTTAATAAATGACCCTGGCTGTGGCTGAAAAACTACTGACCCTTGTAAAAAAAACAACGCTACCAAAAGATTGTAACTCCGTTTTACCCCAGCCCTGCTTTTATGTTCAGCATAAAAAAACTATCTCAATGTCCAAATTTATCTTTTTAAAGTGAACATAAGCGATAGCATACTATAATTAAAACAATTTTTTTTTTTTTTTTTTGCTAGTCACTTGCATTTTAACATGTTTTTACTGTCTATTTGTTGGGTAAATGTTGTTTAAGTTAAATTAATTGGTATTGGTTTCAAAGCAACATAGAAAAAGTCTTAGGGATATATAGCAGCAAAAGATTTATAAATGACATACAATAACAATTCATTTACGTAATGAAAGATTCAAATTGTCAAACATAAATTTAATTCACTGTAAAAACTGTATGCCACAAATTGTTCGATTCAAACAATCCATTTAAATATTCTCTTAGAAGGTATACTGAATTAGTAATACAATATGTGATATCATCATACAGCGGTATGGGGCATACTCTACTTGGCAATTAATTGATTGTTTGTGTTGTGTTAGTCTTACCGGAGGGAGGGGCTCTATTATCTTTGTGCCGTATACAGCAATACATTAAGCACTAAGTGCTATTTGTAGTTGGCAAGCGTCCCGGGGCTCCCTTCAGTTCACTTTGATTTTCAACACAAACGCGTGATGTAATTGTTCGTACTTTGAGAGTTAGTCACTTTTACGAAAATAGTTCGTGTCACATTATCTACGTAGATTCCATCTTCACAATTAGAATTGTTTCAATATTGAGTCTAGTTGACGCCCTATGTATCTGTTTTGAATGATTACCAAACAGTCCATTTAATTGATAAATGTTAAAAATATAATATACACCTACGGTAGTTTAGCAATAAGACCTGCTTTTAACTAGGAAATACGCAATAAAATAACAATGGTCGAAAAAGTCTACACTACTTCACCTGAACCACCTGGTGTAATTTTTCATCCAAATATTTTGAAATTATCAGAGGAGGGAGGGAGAATGAGTTGGCTATATTAGACTCTAAGCAATTTAGAAAATGGAATGATTGAGTGGCTTTGAAACGCACCAAGAGGTGTCAAAACTTCACTGCATCTAAGCCTCGATTATTAAAAGCGAAATTCATGTATTACATGTAGGTAGTAAAATTTGCTTTAATAAAATTGGAGGTTTATCATTTTACTAATAATTTTATTAGTTCGGTAAAATATGTCACTCACTACACTCTTCTGTTTATTATAATTAGTTTTCTTAACCATAAACTTAGTATATTGCAGGGATCATATTCTAGTATTTTTTAATTTTTTGCATTATCCCAATATTATTTTATGAGGCTGGAAGATCATACTGGGGATGAGCTTACCCCTAATGTTTTATTGTACTTTTTATCGTTAACGTTAGTGGAATTTTAACTTCAACAATTACTAACGGTTTTAAGTGAGAGCTTTCTTGACAAGTTTTTGTGGATGTTCGATATAAAAAAATCGCACCCGCTTGTCTTGCAGCGTTGTCAAAACGCCAACCACTTGGCTACATATAGAACACACCCTTAAAGTTAGTATCGGAATAATTCAGTAAAACAATCGCGGAATCAATGTGTAAATGTTATTCTTCAAAGTAAATAATAAAATACGAGGGATCCATGCACAAATTGCATGGTCCAAAATTAGTTTTTGAGGCAAAGTTAATCAAGTGGAATATTTTTCTTTTGACGGTTATTTATTAGATGAATAGAACTTCTAATTAACAATACATTTGTTGATTATGGATCTACACTAAGAGTGATTTACCTACCCCAATCAAGTAAAATAGTAGCTAATTCAAAATACATTTTCATAAACTCTTGTTTACAATCTAACTGCGGTTTAAAATTCAACTGAAGGATCAGCTAAATTACAATTCACATTTTAACCGTTATTCAGAAAGTTGGTCAGCATACCTGGATATTTGGAAATAAGCACTAGAATCAAATTAATCGAGAGGGCGTAAAGCCCTAAAGGAAATTACCTTTTTTGATTACCATTCACAAATGTGCTGGATCATACGCTTCATAATGACACCTGAATTGTAAACATCGGTTAAATAGGACGGTTGGAAAATGGATGTTACATGGAAAACCCTTAAGGTATTAAGTATACAGGGTTACAAAAAAGTCTGGAAACGGCTTGATATCTTTTAAACTAAATTAGTTAGAAAATTCAAACCTTTTTACATAAACTTATATGAATGAAAACTACTTTTTGCAAGCATTACAATTTTTTTAACTCCATCAGGGGACGGCCCATGAGGAGTAGGTACATATTCTTTAATGTAAGCATAGGTGATATGCACATCATTTTAAAGGTCTGGTCAAGTGGAGTTCATTGCCGGAAACCGCGTCAAAAAAAGTTCTTGTGGAATATACCTGCACAGGTAAAATACTCATAGTAAACATTATCCGGGAAATCTGAAAACCGGTTAAATTTGTTTTGAAGATTGAATAAACTTAGTCTGTTAGCTATTTGACTTTAAAATACAATTTCAGCTCTCAAGGTGATGTTTAATACGAGAATTTACCAATACTAAGGCCTTTGAAGGTATTTCCCGTAAGAACTTTGGACTACCGCCATTTTGTAACGGATGAACCTTTTTTGTCACAATTTCTGGCAATGAACTCCACTTGGCCAGACCTTTTAAATAATGTGCATATCAACCTATGCTTACATTAAAGATTATGTACCTACTCCTCATGGGCCATCCCCTGGTGAAGGTAAAACAATTGTAATGCTTGCAAACAGTAGTTTTCATATATGTAAGTTTATGTAAATGTTTTGAATTTTCTAACGGTTTTAGTTTTAGTTTTAGTTTTTTAGTTTAAAAGATATCAAGCCGTTTCCAGACTTTTTTGTAACCCTGTATAAGTGAAGTTGGACATGAAGTGTTTTGCTTGTAGTGAACGAGAGTCTACCAGTCGGCGCCTCAGTACTGCAGGTCGTAGCCTCGGACCCAGACGGCGCAGGTCTAGACTACTACATCACCTCGGGAGACCCTCACTACAGGTTCAGCCTCAGGTCCACTGGTCAGCTGTCTCTCGCCCAGCCTCTAGACCGGGAGCTTGTAGACTCCTATACTCTCAACATCTCCGTGTCAGACTCTAAATACGTCGTCCACACCACGGTCATCATCCACGTGCTTGACGTCAACGGTTCGTCATTCTTTAGTTTATTATTTAAAACCAATAAATTGAATGTATATTTATTCTGTATGCAAGTAGTTATTACCTTTTGTTTGTTGCCTCTGTTCTTTAGTAGTAGTTGTATACTTAAATATTAATAAACCGTATAATAAAGAACAGAGACGGCAATTAAAGCTAATAGCCTGAGTATGAGAGAGCTCCGAAAATGAGCATGTAATTTCGTTCTCCCTTCTTTGCGTGTACGTTATTGTTTGTAAATGCGATGCTTGCTTAAAAATAGGTAAACCATTGGTGGATGTATTCAATTAGTGCCTCCTGAATCTGAAAGTGTATATGTTTGTGATTAATGGAGGTAGACATTTTCTGATTTCTTCGGGATTTAGCGTGTATGAACAACACCGTCAAACGCCTCTAAGCATCTTGGTTGGTTTTGGTTTGCAATTTCTGTAACCCAATTAAAGTAACTAAAAATTGAAGTTCTTTTGAATTTCGGAATAAAGGCCGGCACGTATTTTGTAGAATAAATGTTCTCAACAGAATTTAATAGCACCAACGTGTAAATAAAAATTCCGTTGAAAAAGTTGGATGTACAATATATATGCAAGACAACTCAATCGACTCCTGATGGAGCGATAGACTGATATTACGACGAAACTATACCTGATAATCGGTATTTGCAAAAGTATCGAGAAGTTTGGGATTTCCCAATCATATTCGGGGCTTATGCTGATAAAAGATAGTATAGCCTATCTTAGATTATGTTATAGTTATTCCGATGCATTATTTATAAGTACTTTTTAAATTAAAATTATAAAATGAACATTAAATCTCACATCATGAAATACCAAGAAACTACTTGATTAATTAAATACTCAATACCCGACTCGAGTAAGGTAGAAACTAAACTAATTTCTTAATTTAACAGTTATAAACTGAAAGTCTGGTTTTGACAAGCGCATTTCACACAGCGGGGCTCAATCCACCTGTCACAAACTGTGGAATGATGTGACGTTTCAGGCACAAAGTTAGCCCTTGATTAAACGATAAATCACAGTCTATGTGTATTAACGTCAAAGTCTATCACTAGTGAGCACATGATGTGTAGCTTTCAGTGTGTAGTATTTATTTATGAAAGGTCATTTGTGCAAACATGCACTCATTAAAATTAAATTACTGGTGTATAATATATGCATAGTAAAACTTAAATCATTTTAACGAAAGGACTTTTATGTAGATTCACCATTTTACCAATTTATGTTATAAAATTCCTTGATTTCATACAAAGGCCTGTATTCCTTATGGTAAAATTATTTTATTTAATCAATCAGACCAATTACTTGTATTGATTGCACACTAAAACACTAGTTAAGTGCGTTGCGCTACACAAACACTTAGTTATATTGATTTGAATAATATGAAAATTGCTCGTATTAAATATAACGATTGCTGGACGAATTCATTTTTTATTTAATCAGATATTTAACTCAAAGTGATTGACTAAAGACGATTTATATCGCTATAAAGTTCAGACACAATAAAAAGTGGTGTATAAAAACAAAAACCAAACAATTCCGTAGTGATTTTGTTTAATACATTGATCTAAGCTTTAAGCATTCAACACAATTACATTTACACAAATAAGTATTGCAAATCAACGCAAATAATAAAGACAGAGGGTGAAGATTATTTGACTAGTTAAGTTTAGGTACATGTTCTAATAAAATGCAATAATAAACGGTTTTCAAGTTACTTCCTAAACTCTCATTGTTTAAACCATTAATACAATTATTTTACTTCGATAAACTAAGTGCGAAATTTAGCAAGAATTTATCTCACTAGAAACAATATCGTCATATACTTAAAAAATATCGATTAAAGTCTCAATAATTGTAAATTGTTGTGGACTACTGCTAGTAACAAGTAATAGAAACTTTCACATTGTGTGTGTTTTCAGTGTTAAAAATTTAAACTTTGCTCTGTTACCCACCGTGTTGGTAAACTTATACAAAGCGATTTGAGCACAATTCAAACAGAAACACCGAAACAAAGAGTTGAAATCGATTACTTCTCTTGACACAATTAGGGGTTTTAATGGTCATATGCAATGTTGCGATTCTACCTAATTCATATGAAGGGTAAATAAACAGACGGTGTTTTTACAACCCGGTAGGACTATTTTAGGTCTGAATTTGTTATAAAATAAGTCATTAAATATCATGATGGAGAGCGTTCTGGTCCTAGTTGTTATAGCGCGGGACTCGAATTCGAATCCCCGCCAAATCACCAATGGATTTTATCCAAGTGATAATGCCGTAACCCCTAGGTCTAGCCTGAAGTAATGTGAAAAAGAATTCCGGGCTCGTGCCTAGTGTCCTAGGACAAAAAATATCACTATGATGAAAAGTATTATTTTTGAAAAAAATTTGTTAATTAATCCTACTCTCGCTCACAATGTTTCCTTTTAGGAATTAAAATACCTTTCAAACTGCATTGTTTATGATAAAAAAAATTTCAATATAATATCCTACCTTATCTTAGCACTGACATGTCAAATTATAAAATTTATATAAACATGTAAGATATGTAAATTTTAGTGACATATAGCTAAATAAAGTCGAGATATTTTAATCCAAAACTGAATTTCTTTGTTCATTAAAATATAAAATAAATGTTTCAATGATTCATTCGGCCATTTAGCATACAGCAAAATGTAAATGATATAATGTTATTCATAGACTAATATCAACCACAATGGAATAAAACAGTGAATGTAGACTTTGTCTTGTTTCTTTCTACAGACAACCAGCCTCGTTGCTTGCAGCCCATGCTGAAGACAACAGTGTCTGAGGATGCTGCTCCAGGGACCACAGTGCTGACAGTGCCTGCAGAGGACGCCGATCTGAATCCTCAGTTGAGATATCATCTGACAGGCACCAACGCTGCTCACTTCTACTTCAACCAGATCACCGGTAACTATAAATTACAGTAATTTTATTATTTGAAAGAAAGGGATAATACATTTGGATTTGATAAAAAACATAGTTGAAGGAGGCATTCACAGAGTGTGTAGCAGTGTAACATTGTCTCCCATAGTTTTTGATTCTAAGATAGTTTATGTGACATGAAATATGCTATACTTAAGAATAAGTTGTCTATTCAATTTCGATTGATTGAAATTATTAGACAGGTTTATTAGACAGCAATATTTAAATTATAACAGCGCACTCTTTTGGACGATTAACTCAACTACGTTAATTTTTATTCCATAACTAGTGATAACTTAACCTCAGAAATTGAATGTAACAATTTCTATAATTATAATTTGTCTATCCGTGTCAATGTAATAGTCTATACAAGCAACGGTTATCGATACCTAAATTAAATGAGTGCTGTTGGGTAAATAGCTCTCAAACACTGAGTGACTGTACAAGAAGCAGCTGATAACATCAGAGAGATGATCAAAGGTCTGAGTTTCCCTGAAGAAGTACACCACTTGATGATCCATAATAAGGTCATAGCATGTAGAAGGTGTGGGCTAGTTCAAGGGGATGCCAGACCACGTACCTTATGGCTGGATACATCTAAGGAAATGCGACCTTTGAACTCTAATTAGGGGTAGACATATACCTCATGGATAGGTCATAGACGAGGAATTTATCAGGTATTTCAATTTTGTGGATTCTGAAGCGCGAAATTGGTTAATAATAAGTCCTTAATGAAGCTGACGTATCGTGGGATAAGATTCGCACCTTATAAATTAATTAATGAATTAATTGACGGAGCCTCTTTTTAATTAATACTGAGACTAAATACCCCCACTCCCAGAAACAAGGGTGATTTATGAAATAATTAGAACTTAAGCAGTTTTTGCAAAAAGATTTTTTGATTTGTAATAACATTTTTGTTTGATTATTAACATAATAGTTCCATTTTTCATCATGAGTTTGAAATAAAATGGTTTAAAAAATACCTAACTTATAAGTGCAAAGCGACTTGGTCGAGGAAATGATCCTCTGGTTTTATTAGATACGGCTAGTGATCTAGTACATACCATATGGTAAAAACTATATGTAAATAACAGTAGTTAAATCGATGGTAGTAAAAGCTGTTTTATGTTTTAGTTTATGCCGACTCTTATTTGAATAAACCATCGTAGTGTGGCTATAAATTAGTAAACAACGACATGCTGCATTATATGAATGTAACACGACTTTACAGTATAATAGTTTTCTTTATGTAAGAATATAAATTATTTACAATCATCAACTCTTTGAGAACTAAATATATTCAAGGGAAATTCACTAAATATATGTGACTGAAACTAAACTTGATAATCACATTAGTTTGTTGTTTTATTATTTTTCCAAATAAATAAAAGTTTAAACACTATTATTCATGGATAAGGACATTTAATTTAAGTATTAAAACCAATATTGATATGAACGCACGTTTTAGTGGCGTGACTAATTCAAACCAAAGATATGGCACACATCATCAAGCATTGAATATCAATAGATACCAAGCAAGCTAGACGGATCACTAGTTGCTCATTACCTATCTATCGTTTGAACACGTTTGACAAATCTATGTGTCATATCTGCTATGTTTATGTACCAAACAGCCATTACTCCTCATATCAATTCAGGACTTGGGTTTGAATTTGACCCGATATCAGACAAATGACATGAAATATGAACACAGCCTATGAGTTTGTATCTTTTGACTTTTTTATATATTAGATGAGGTTTTGTCGTACGACTATTATACTTGCACTGTAAAGGGTTTGATTTTTTTTAGTTCATTGTATTATAACGAAAATAAAATGAAATAGTACATACAATTTGTTGAGATTTTTGAACAAGTTTCTAACTGTTTTTAAATTTTATTCAGCCTGAAATAAAAGTTGTTAGCTTCAATTTTTTGCATACCTTTTTATATTTGAATTACTAAATATTTTTAACGTCCGTCAAATTCTTCTAGCTGAAACACTCTAGTAGGCATTCCAACTCCTCACGTAATGCTATTTGTCACTAAATTTGGCGTTACAACAGTATTTTCTTAATGCCCTAAGCAAGCAATGTTACCCAATCTATCGTATAATTGAGATCGTCTTCTAGATTGTTGGACTTATACTTGAACATTTTGATGAGTTTGAAGGTAAATAAAACATAAACTTGGATTTAAAATAGTTTTACATTTTAATGAGAGTTGTGGGTAATTAACGTATGTTCATCACTCCGGGTTTTCATCCATAGGTGAGCTAAAGACAGGAGTAAGCCTAGATCGTGAGGCAGTCTCGGAGTACAGTCTGGTCGCTCATGTGCTGGACCGTGACACTTCTGGCTGGGAGTGTACAAGTCACGTGACCATCCACGTTGCTGACGTCAACGACAACGCCCCCGTGTTCTCCTCTAGCAATTACACTGCTGCAGTACCAGTAGACTACCCTCCAGGGAGCTTCGTCACCATCCTACGTGCCGTCGACTCTGACTTCGGTATGTTAGGACATTAGAACGAAGTCATTGAAGGCTGTATCATTACTGCGACGCCTAAACACCCACGTGCCTGTTGATTATGCACGGTATTATAAGAGAAATCATCCAAATCCTTTACTGACGCTGATTCCTAATCATCATCAATTGACAAGGTGTTAAGAATAACCACTGAAGTAAAAAATGAAAAATTTAAACATTTGGAATAAAATTATTAAGATAATAAACTCGAACGATATACAAGGTTTGAAAAAAATTGAATTGTAGTTTTATTTAATAATGCAGAGTTGGCCGTTGAATTACTTCTAAGTTACTAAAGAAATAAAAAATAAATCTTAAAATCAAGCCGTAATAATTAGTTCAGTACCTACTTAAAATATATATAAGGTTTATCATTATAAGCAACTAAAGTCAGATAGCATCACAATTCTTTCACTAAA